GGATATTATACAGGTGACTACGTTACATATCAGGTTTCTATCAACTGTTGTCCCATCAAATGTTGGTTATGATTTGCTCATTAATCCGGTATTGTCAGAATCCCATTTTAAATTGAAATATTTTAGTAAGCTGTAACAGCAGGTTTAGGAACAAAATTTTTAGAAGGTGACAGATATCAACAAATGGAAGACTGCTTAAAAAATGTTTACGCTTAAAATATAATGACTACTGCACATATCCTTTTCAACTTTTATGCTCTAGTCAATGTATTATAATTGAGCTCTACTGAATTACTTTTCTAGTGGATAAATACTGTACACGCTGTAGTGTGAAGAGACATCGTGTAATGTATACTAATTAAGCCATTATATCTGTAGAGAAGATCGTATCTGAAATATCAAATTAGCAGGAATTAAACATCTCAAAGGATTAATGAAATGTTATGGAGCCATTCACTTCCAGGTCAACAGGTTCAGTTTCAGCTTAGTTTAATAGTTATAATGAATTTATGTGCTAGAGATAACAATTCTCTGCATCCATTCATAAATCAGGATAAGAGCCCCTGGCTCGTACCAAGAACAGCAGCCTTTAACCAGCGCAGCCAGAACAAGGTAGCCAGGAATATTATGCTAGGCCTATATTTGGCATGTAGCCTTAGGCTCCATGAGATCAAACAGCACATTTACTGGATGGCTGCAATATGTGCAGGCAGCAATGAGGGACACCAGAGACATTCAGTCACTTCTCTTTACAGATCTGCCAACAATTGCCAACCCCAGCAATAAAGTTATCACAGGCAGAACATTCAACTCCATCTTTTATTTGACTTAGCTAAAAGTCCAGTCTGCTTATCCTGATTCCTCTCTCAGCAGCCCTTGCTGCTTCTAGCAGAGACACTTGCAGCACAAGAAAAAGATGGGGTGGAGGTGCAGGAAAGGAAGAATTATAGCCAACTTCTATGCGGAGTTATCTTACAGTTAATGTGACAGTATATACACAACAAACCTGATTTTCTGGTGGAATCACAAAATTGAGGTTAAACTTTTTCCGAGATTAAATAACCACCATGTCAACAGATTTAGGCATCAGCTCCTTAGTGATGATGGGCAGTAAACAAACAATAACCAGTATACACATAAGAGAAAGTAGTTAAGAAATAACTCATCAAGAACAAATAACTGTATCTTAGTCAGGTATGCATAAAGAGGTACATTCAAGCTCTTTAGATACACACTGAAAGGTGACAAACTGTATAAATGTAACAATCATCCAAAGCCTATCACTTCAGTTTGCTATGAGGACTCTGGTTTTAGACACACACACACATTATGCAGTGTGCCGCAGTAAGCTAAGGAATGATTGGAAACACTAGAGTTCTAGCCCGAGTTTTTCACTAATCTGTGAAGATTTACTAAAAATCACTATCTTACTGTGCTTCAGTATCTCCAAAACTGTTAGAAAGCCCACCTATGCAGGTATTAGGGAAAAACTTAACTAGTATTTATGAGGTGCTTCAAGTGGTCTAGAAATGCAAGTTATGGATATTAGCCCTGACTGCAGGTGACTAAACCACACTCTGCAATATGGATTGGAAACCTAGAGAAGCCACAGTGTACACTGCAGACAAAAAAGTCTTATCCTGCTACCTCTATTACCAACCACACTTTGTCATCATCCTGCTCCCGCTTCAGAAGCTCCCAAGATCTGGAAAAACAACAAGGATTTTCAGCAGAGAGAATTTTGATGGCAGTAAAATAGCTTACAACAGACTATTATATTTGAAATAGTTTTTCAACCAGGGGTATTGAGATACCAACACCACACTGAAAAGAAAAAAAAAGCTGTGGCAGCCTACATAATATATGAAAAAAGCATCAAGCTTGCAGGATTGTTCTCTTTTAATGACTACAAACAGAATTCAAGAACAAAGAGCATTCTAACAGCTGTTTGCTTTGCTTTCCTGGCATTTACGTATTTCAAGTTAAAAAAAAAAAGTAAACATGACAACCCAAAAGTTATAAGGAGCCATTTTTATTACAGGACTGCCCTGAATGCACATCTCCTGCTTATCAAATCTCTTAACGCTCCCACTACAGTAAATGCATTAAGAGATTTAGTGAAATTTGAATTTATTTATTATTTATTTATTATGTATATATTTAGTCTCTCAACAGAAAGCTGCGAAGTACAGCATGCACTATTGGTGGTGGAAAGATGCATTTTTACTGATCTATCTTACCTTTTTTTCACTTTAGCCACCCTCCTGTACGACATGTGTCTTTCAAGTACTGAATTCCTTCAACGATACTTCTAGATCTATTTTTCCTGTGACATACTAAATTACTCAACTGCGATGAAAAGTTTCTACAGACCATCAGGAGCTTGCAACCATAGTATTTTCGTAAGGGATATATTTTGAAATTATAATTTTTATGATTAATAATCTATTAATATATTATATTTTATATATATTAATAATATATATATTATTATATATACACACACAACCTAAAATGATTATATGTTCTTTAATTTAAAAAGTACAACTTTTACTGTGACTTCCCAAACCTTTGGAAAGCAAGCTTTTTGTAGTTTTTCTGCTCGAGAAAGAAAAAATACCTTAACAATATAGACAGATGTAATGTATAGCATTCAGTAAGAACCGTGGAAAAATTGCCCTCCAAGAGGCAGATGAGCGCATGGCATTTTCTGTGTTGGGCACAATAGAAGCAGAAAGAAGAAACCCCCAAAGCACTTGAGAAAAACATTATGGGTAATTCAAGATGTAAAGTAAAAACTGAAATTTTCAACATCCCATTTTGGACTTGAAAACTATAGTGTTTTAGTGTAGAGGCCTAACTCTTGTGCTTGTGTGTGTACTTTTTATATATATATACACACATACATGTATGTGTGTATGTGTATGTATGGTTTGTAAGGAGAGAGATATCTTTTATTAGACCACTATAGCTGGAAAAAGTACATAAGCCCTTTGTTGGCCTAATATAAGCTATTACCTCTCCCTTGAAACCTTTGCTCTCACATCACCATGATCATGGTTACAAGACTATCATAAAAATTAAAAAAAAAAAAAATAATCTCCCTTGGTGAACTTAAAAATTGCATCTCCAGCATTCCACTGTAATACTTAAGCCACTTAAAACAGAGAGCAGAAATACGAGACTTGCATAGTTTCATACTTCATCTTGAATGCTATCAAAACTCTATGTTCTCCTTAGTCCTAAAAGACACAAGCATCAAGTTGCATATCAACCAGGAGCCCTGGATAACAAAATGAGCTTTGACACTGGAGCGAGAGAGAGGCAGCAGCATTGGGGTCTTGGTGTTGCAGTATAAACTATAAGGTCCACAGGGAAATCTAAATGGTGTATTTTTCTGTTTACCTTCAGGTGACAACGTCCAAATGCTTCAACACATCACTGAGTGTCTGTTACAAAAACTCCTGTCACTAAGAATAAGAATGGATGGATGAATAATGGTCAGGCTGGACCTTCTGCCTCTTGCCAGTAGTATTGAGCAGAGATTTAAAAACAGCTTGTAAGCAATACGCAGCCAATCTAGACCTATATAATCAGACCCAGAATCATCAACATTAGAGATACATCAACTTACCTCTGAATAGAGATAAGTTACGTAGTTGCTGGCGTTTCTCAAAGGACCCCGGTTCGTCGACTGAAGTCAGTAAAGGAATTACTTGTTTCACAATCTCTTTTTCCAGCTATATTCACTGACAGCACTGAATAGTTTTTTTCCTTTTTAAAAGCTTGCATTCTGACTTATTTGAAGAAATATGATAAAGTCTGTCCCTCTCCATATACAAAAAAGAAAGTTTCAAAATACAATACACTGTAAAATATTATGAATGTGCCATTCAAGTAAAACCCTACCATACATGAAAGATTTTTGTTTTAATACAAGTGAGTAACAAAAAAACTAAGAGCAAATACATCTTAACAGATAAAGGAATGCGCTTTCCCTTTTCTATTTTCATTCACTGCCACCTCTAAGATGGTAAGATCGACATTTCAGTATTTTCATCAACTGCAAAGCAAGGATAACTCAAACATAATAAAGATTAACATGCTGGCTATACTGGCTAGCCCATCATGAAAGGCCGAGTTTTGCCTATATTGTGCATATTAGTCTCCATGGTATAAAATGTGTGGCTTCAGGGGGATTGGGGCGGGGGTGGGGGGGATGCTCAGCATTACATGCCAGTTTCCTGAAGGAAGTCACCTTTCAGGACAAGGTACAGCTGCGAAAGCCGTGCAGTCAAGAAATCTTGCTGTATTTGTCTACTAAGTAATGTATTTCCACATCAGCAATCACTTCTATCCAAACAGATATATCCAAATCAAGTGTCATTGCAGTAAAACTGGTCTCTGATGAGGCACCCTGATCATTTAAAAAAAGACAACAGCCTTCCTTGCAAAGCATTCTAGTGCTAAAAACTGGTTCTTATACAGTGTTTTTTCAGAAGAAAGACTTCCTTGAAAATTATTTAACTCCTTTTTTAAATTGAACTTTGTGCAACCCTTTCAGGTTGCTTTGAAGAGAAATGTTGAATGAATCCATATTCTAAAATGACTTAGAAAGAAGAAAAATCCCAGCAGTAAATCCACCTAATTAAGTGGGGGTGTATCTAGCCCATAGGCTATTAACGCATCTCAGTTTAATATTTTTAAACATACTATATGTGGAACAGGCGGTAAGGTCTCCTCATTATTTCTCAAATGAAGCTGAACAGATCTAACCCAAATTACAGCAAGATAAACCAGACAACTTAAGTGATGAAAACTGTACTTTTTCCTCTGCTTTAGGGACGCTTCTGGCTCATCTGTCCTCTGATCAAGGTGAGCCTGATAAAGCTGAAAACTACACTGTGTGACTGGATTGTACAAGATTATCTTTCCCCTGAGAAGTGATTTATTTTCGTAACTCTTGATGAATAAGAAACTTTCTGCTCCAACACACTGCTCTTCTTGTGTGGGCATGGTTCCTTATTCCTTTGAGAGATCACATAAAAGAAACATAGAATATCAGTGGCTACATCTTCTTTATGCTTCAAAGACAAATTTGCGCGGTAAGACAGACCTTCAGGGACGACAAGTTTCATAAAAAGTAAAAAATATTATCATCAGTTCGTAGGTTTAACTGCAAAAGTTACTGGCATATCTTCCACTTTTTGAGTGTGAGGAAAATCCAGTTTGGGTTGTGAGAGATCTCGCTTTGTAGAATTTAGGGTTTCTTGACCTTTAGACAATTCCAGGAGATGTTGCATGTTAAGTTTGAAAATGAGGCGAGGATCTGGTCCAGAAAGAGATGGGCAATTGCAGCTCTCTCTTATTTTAAGAGCCTGTGAATACATAGGAAAACAAATCAAGCTCATTTAAATAAGAAAAACAAAGGTTTCAGTCACCGATTTGGCTTTCCAGTAAGGTTTGCATTTGCACACAAAGCCTAGTGAGTATAATACTGAATCTGAGTTGTTACTGAACAACTTTTCAACAGAAACCAAGAATTCCTGAGTAGCGATGTAGCAATATGGCAAAACAATGGAAAAAAATGAAGAATGAAGAATGAAAATCATTTTCTCACAGTCTCTCAAAGAATGGATACTCTAAAAGGTACAGCATAAATAAGTAGGAAGTTCTCCAACTATTTTCTGATACTTGTTCACATCAGTACTTTTTACCTTTTAATTTACATTCACATGTAAATTGACTGCATTGAGAAAAAAAGGGCTGTGAATAATTTACTTCATCAGATATATTCTATTATTGAAGTAACTATATATAGATGTTTGACTCAAAAAAGGAGGGAAAAAATCTCCAACAACATAACAGACATTTAACTGTTTGGCACAGAGATCCAGACGGTTGATCAGTATAGTTACGGTCCACTTACACAAGTGATCTCATTTCCAAGAAGCATTTGAATACACAGCTTCCAAGTGTTCTCAGAAAACAATGTCTCTAGAAGGTAAAAATTTATCTGGATAAAAAGATTAGCACTAAGAGACCAAACTTTAAATTACTCCTGGCCACTGAGTAAGTTCCATTGTTTCCATTATACAGATTAGAAAGTAGAGGCACAAACGAGCCAAAGAATTTCCCAAAGAGTCAAAATCCATTAGCACAGGTACACTCCCCCCAGATCATTCTGCCTTGTGGGAAATCTGAGAAAGGTATGGCAATGGATGAATCTCATGTCTCAAAAGTACCATGGAGAAATTGAAATAAAACAGTATGAAGTCAGCTGTTTTAAAGGGTGCTTAAGTTGGTGTTCATTGTAACGAAGCGGAACATACTTTAATTAGTCCATAAAAACAGGCAGCTCATTTTAGACCTAACAATGGATACTGAACAACTAAGTCCAATGCAGTACTTCACAAGCGGTTGTACACAGATCTACTAGTATCCATGGATTCTCCTACAAGACCCATTTAAACTAATCAAGAAAAGCAAGTTCCTATGTATCATACAGCAAAATACCATGTGTAGAATTCTATGGTCCTATGGTTCTAGGTTCTATGTCTCTGCTGAGAACTATTTTTTCAAGATTTGCAAAATGAAACACCAAGAAAACACCAAGTCAAAAACTAGCCTGATATTTAGCATTAATCAATCATCACTGTGGTACGGTCACTTTTATGCAGTATTATCTGTATCTTATCCTCAATTAACAGTATAAAACTATGGGCAGATTAACATCCAGCTTTATTTTTAATCCTTTCATGGAAAAATAAGTTCAAACGTATATTTTATTCCACTTCTTTCCAAACGTGGATTCTTGAAAAGTAATGGCCAGACCTGTCCTGGAGTTGCAGTCAGGTACCTCCTGACCAGTACTAGGGACTGTTAGCAGAAAGCGTGGGTTGATTCATTTGTTCTAGATGGATTAAAGAGGAAGAACAAAGTAACACAGTTTTCATAGCAGTCCTACCACTGCACTTAAAAAACAGAGCAGAAATGTTAATCTGCTTTATACACACTAAATTTGGCTGAAACATCAAATAAAATATTCCACTACACTTATGCATAAGTATTTGCCCATCATTTTGAAATAATCCGGTATTCTTCCACAGAAGACACTGGGAATATCTTACTACAGTAGATATTAAAATAGAAGAGCAGAGCTTCTTAACTCGTTTCTTTATATAAGGAGGTACCAAAACATGTTTCTCCCTAACTTTACTAGTAACTGACGAAGAGTTTGCTGTAAATGGCTAGAAACAAATAGAATTTAAATTTAACAACTGGTTTTGGAAAAAGGTGCATTCCAGGAATGTAGCAAGAGTTTCTCCAGCTGTTTGTTGCTGAAATGTAACATTCCAAATTATTTGATACCCAAATCTGGATTAGGCATACAAATATTCCTCTTGTCTAACTTGTAAAAAAATACAAATAAAGCTTTCAGCATTTGTTTTTCTACAGCATGATCGTCCATGTAGTCACCAAATGTAACCATACCGCTGAACACTCTTCTGCTTCAGTGACCAATTAGTTTCTAAACTGACATTTATGACAAACCAAGAGTTTCTCTTGTTCTCTTCCAGAACATAAGCTGCTGCAAGACTGCATTGATGTCAAGCAGCGTTATTCAAGGCAAATGGAAATATAAAGATTTAGGCTGTATCCTGGAAAGGGTAACATAATCCTCTTTTAAAATAATTCCGCAATTTTAATTCTCTTGTTTTCTTGGCTATATAGTGCCTGGCCTATTTTCGTAGTTTCACGCTAAAGTCACAACAGCAAAGGTAAAAAACCAATACTTCAAAGTTAACATTTTTACCCTCTAAATGTCTTTGCGTTCTTGCTAGACATAAAGCTGTCCAAGGAGGCAGAAGGCATCTATTCAACACTATCAACTCACATGCTATTAAAAAGACTACAGTTATGAGAATGGAAAGCTATGCTGACATGTCATCTCACTGCTAAAGACAGCTATGACTACACACTCTGGTGAAAGTAGTCTTTGTATGTACATTTGTGACTGCCATGCAACATTCAACCCTAGTTAGAAAGTGTTCTTTCGCTGGCTCAGTTGACTGCTGCTATTGTTTTGTGCGAGTAGCTCTAGAACATCATTAAGATGCCAGTAACAGGCTGAGGAGCTTACAATATCATTTTTCCTGAAAGATAAAACAGCCCAACATGGCTGGCCGTACTGTACTTTCAAAATCACTAGCAACTTCAAATCCGGTAATTTAATATTGCTCAAGTAAATTGGTTTTTGACAGTCTGGGTAAGAGGACAAGTAAAAGCATTCTTAATGAAGCACATGCATATTGATATTATAATAAGAACATGTTTTATTGACTGCTTATACTGAAGAGTGTTCTCAATAAACAAGACAGACAGAACTGAGACAAGGTTAACTAGCTGAACTCAGTACGTAGATTCACCTGGGAACTGAGAGTACTTTAATGCTGTTTTTCTCAGGTTAACCTTAAGAGAGAAGAACTGCTGTTCAGAATAAAGACCACCTCCATGCTTACTGGTTCAGGAGATCTCAAATAAGACATTGAAACTATTGCTTGTAAGTAACAAAGGTGAAGCTGTTTTTCTTATCAATACAATTGCAGTCACCTCCTGCAATGTGCTGGGAGAGGGAAAGGCATAAGAATTAGGGAGGTCTGCCTCATCCTACTGCTTTCATATAAAGCCTACCAGCAGAGACAAATCTAGAAAAAGTAATTTTTAGCTCTCAGTATTAATCCCTCACCACTGTCACAGATAGCAGGCTAACTGCTGCATCTTGAGCCCTTACAGTCTTTTGGAGTGCATCTGTCCTACCTCTCCGGCTGTCAGCTCTCTCAGTATAAAAGCCACATCATTCTCTTGTCCGCAAACCAGGCCAAGGGTTATTGTCTCTTGTGTATTAACTGCGACTACCCCGGCAGGGCTGACTTACGCTCTGACCTTGCAATTCTGACAAAAACTAAGAAACAGCACAAGCATGTAGGGACAAAAAGGAAAAAAAAATTAAAAAATAAGAAACGACGAGTTGCAAAATGAATTACAAAGAGCAGGCATAGGAAAGAGAGGTTCTACAAATGAAGTAGTAGTAAAAAGATGATTAAAAGAATGGATAGATTTGTTACTTGATGGAGAAGAAAAGCAACCTTCATATAATGCTAATACTTCAAATCTTTCACTGCTTCTATTGGCACAGAAAAGGAAAATGGTAACAAAATATTTAACAAATTTATGGGGAGGATAGAAACACAGGTCAGTATTTTTTATTCTTACTTTCCTCTAAGTTTTCACATTGATAAGGCCTAATTAATATATTCTAGTACTAGAACTATCTGAAGTAATCTTCACATCATAAGCAAAGGGCAAGTATACCAACCCATTTTTAAGAAGGAAGTGAAATAAATGTATCTTCAATTTTTCAAAAGGCAGCAGACTGAGGAATAAGCAATAACTACCCAAACAAAAAAAATGAACAGCCAATGTGGATTTGACAAGAACAGATCTTGCCAAAGTAAATTAACTTTTTTTTTGACAAGTTAATTGACCTAGCAAACAAAAGAGAAGCAGTAGAGGTGACATATCCCAACTTAGTATTACTCTCGAAATTATCTCAACACAGCATTTCCACAAGAAAGAGTGGGAAACGGGAGTTACAGTGAATCAAAAGAGGAATCTGAGCCAACAACATGATGCCAAAAAAGCAAATGTCACGTCAAGATGAATTTTTATGTTGCAGGCAAGGCTCAGTAGATAACCTTCTGCTTTATTCAGCATAGCTGAGGCTTCAGCTGATGTACAGTGGACTATTTGGACAACATACTAGGAAAAAGGTAGAGAAACTGTAGCAAGTCAGAGAACATTAAAATAAAAGGTTCAGAGATGAACTAGAAGATCCTATAGCTTCTCTCTGGCACTACACTTCCACAATTTTTCTCTCCAGAACAACGGTAAGCATCCTTCCTGCTAGTACAAAATTATTTTAAGATTTCTTTTTCTGAAAATAAAATGCATAGGCCTATTACCAAGCATCTCACCACCTTCCATGTAGGAATTCTAGGAGATTTCAGTTTCCTATTTAACAGTATATACTGTTTTCCTAGTTTACAATCCCAATCTCCCCCAGTCTGAGGGGGAAATCCTTTAAAAACATAGTAAATCTTTTCAATTTCCTTTATTTCCTTCCCAGGACAGTGTCACTTTGTAACTGCTTATAGCTCTCTTATTTATTAATTCCTCAGCTTAGCTGTAGCTTCCAACTTGTTCAGAAAACCAGATGCAAGATCTTTAAAAGACAGGGAACAAGTCAATGAGTTAATTATGTGGAAAGGGAATCCCTATGATATTCCTGCTTTAATTTACATTTCCTGAGACTGTTAAGTCACCTCATTGAGACATGCCATTTCATTACTTGAAGAAAAAAGTCTCACTTTATACGGTCGCATCTTACTGTGAACTTGCTTAGATATCTGTAGAGAAACATCTGTGTGGTCCAAGAAGTCCACAAACTTGTCCCTATTACCCCCAGCTACAGTAGCTGGTCTAACAATAGATATTATATCGTCCTGAAAACCATTTCAGCTTCAAAACCATCAGCATATGAAACACAACAATCTTTGTATCAGTACCTTTAATACAAACCCTTCTATTTTATTTGTATCTTCAGAAGAAGGGCAATTTCAACTGAAGTAATATTCAAAGTCAAATACAGAGGTAAAAGCCAGCAGAGGTTTTGGGGTTTTTTTTAGGATTTAAACCCTTATTTCTTGCTCACGATGGATCTGATATTTAGTACAGTTTCTTCACAGAGAGATACTAGAGAGATAAAAAGGCCCTTTTCAAAATCTGGCTTCTCCCCTTGGGCTCTGAATATCTAATAGCCATTAATACATGGTAAACATACTGTTCTAAAAGGCTTTAAGTATGTGAACAATGAAACAAAAAGGCATTGATGTTGAACAACAACCAAGCCCTGGGATTCCCTTTAAATGCCTAAGATCCAGCTTCAAGAAGGCAGCTCTCAGATAAAGGGGAGTCAATGCTTCAGACAAGAAGCCTCCAACACCTCTACATACCCGCTTTCATTTTTATTCCACTTTAGTAATATTAACCTTACTTATCTAGTGAACTTCTGTTAAAAACAGGAAGCCTTCAGCCTCTGCTTTCTTATCCTACTCCAAAGAATGTTTAAGGTAAAAACCGAATGAAAACATCTCTTCCTCAATTATCTTTTGGAAGAAGATTTCCTCACTTCCACTGCTCTTGGAAGTGAGAGTGGCTATAAAAAGATGAAGGTTGCTCCACC